AATAGTTTGCTGCAAGAGGAAGTTCACTTAATTTGGAAGAAAGTGTGAAAAACCCTCATACCCAACAGCACTGTCAATATCAGTAACAATTTTGGTAGCAAATACAAGAAGTCCAGTGAACGGGCAATCCTAATATTCAGGTTTTGGGTGGGGCAAGCAACAGACTGGCAGACTAGCCAGAAACTTAACAGCCACAGAGAGCCTTGACATCTGGCACATGTCTGCTGAATGGAAGGCTATGCACACGTACAGCCAAGACTGGAGAGAGCTTACAGCTCCCCACACATCCTTCCCTGACAGTGACTCTGGGCATGTGCAAAGGAGATGCAGGGATTAAGCTTCGGTCACAAATACGGTAAAGGCCAGGGAAGATGTGACAACTGACTAGTCTATGGGTGCTCCCCCAAAATTCCATCAGCAGAGGGCGGAAGCCTTATTAACATAGGTGTGTGAGCGCAGCCTCTGACTAATCACTGGTGATGTCTGAGCAATGCTGACACAGAAGACGTGCCCAGCAGGGCAGGCTTAAAAGTGAGAAGGAAAAAAATGAACAAAGCCGTAAATCATGAAGTAGACAAACTCTGCAGATTTAGTCCAACTAAATGACTAAAGAAACAAAGAAAAGAAAAACCTGTAACAACCACCACCGTTGGAGACGAAAATGAATCAGAATGCAAATGCGCCACGTGATCTGAAATGTGGAGTTTTCAAAAAAAAAAAAAAAGCTAAGAGACATGCAAAGAGACAAGAAAATGTGACCCATACGTAGAGAAAGAAAGAGAGAGAGAGAGAGAGAGAAAGCAAGCAAGCAAGCGAGCGAGCAGTAGGAAGAACTGTCTTGGAGAGGCCCAGATGTTGGGGGGGGGGAAAAGAGAGAGACAGAGAGAGAGAGAGAGAGAGACAGATTTTAGACAAAAAGAAAAAAAGAAGAGAAAGCACAACAATGACAATGAAATTTAACCAAAGGAGTTCAAGACAGATTTGAGATGGCAAAAGAATGAGTCTGCAAACTTAAAGATAAGCCAATTAAAATTACCCGGTCAAGAACACAGAGAAGAAGGACGAAGAGAAAGAGCCGCAGAGACGTGTGAGACACCGTCAGGTGTATCGACACACGAATCATGGGAATCCAGGACTGATGGGAGCAGAGGAGAAAGAAAAAGGCAAAAAATTTTAAAGAAACAATAGCCGAAAACGTCCCACATTTGAAGAAAAATGTATACGTATGGATCCACAAAGCTTAATGAGTAAGGAGGCTAAGCATACACAATCACAGTCAAATTAATGAAAATGGAAGAAAGACAAAATCGTGACAGCAGCAAGAGAAAAGCAACAGATCATGCACAAAACAACAAAATCCTTAAGGACTCCTTCTCATCAAAAATAATGAAGGCCAGGAAGCAGCAGACTGGCCTTCTACCACCTGAAACAAAAAACTGTCAGCCAGGAATTACATAAACTATCTTTTAGAATACAGGGGAAATAAAGACATTCTGAAAAAAAACAGAACAATTTTTGGGGGTAGCAGATCAAGGTTATAAGAAAGACTAAAGGAAGTCCTCTGGGCTGAAAAGAGGTAGCACCATATGGCAACTCTATCCACAGAAAGAAATGAAGGGCACCAGAAATGGTAAATGTAAGGGTTCATACAAAGATTATAAAAATACTGTACTACAAGCCAACATCCCTCATGATTATAGATGTAAAGATTCTCAACAAACTACTCGTAAATCAAGTGTAGCAAAATGTAATATGACCAAGTAGGATTTCACCTAGGAACGCAAGGCTGGCTTAACATCTGAAAATCAACTAATGCAATATACTATTATCCACCAAAAAAAAAGGAGATAAATCACATGAGCATTTCAATGGGCAGAAAAAAAACGTGGCAAAATCCAACACTCATTCATGATAAAACTCTCAAAACCCAGGAACAGAAGAGAACTTCTTCCACAAGGTCAAGGGCAGCAAGGAAAACCTAACAGCTGACATCATACTTAATGATGAAAGACGAAAAGCAACAAGCAAAGACATTCCATCTTCATCACTCCTGCTCAACAATGCGTTCGAAATTCCAATCAGTGTGAAAGGGAAAATAAAATAAAAAAATAAAGACATTAAAATTTGAAAGAAAGAAATAAAACATACTTTATTCACAGATAACATAATTCTATATGTAGAAAATCCTAATGATTCCATAAAAACCAAAACAACACACTAGAACTAATGGTCCAACACAGTCACAAGATACAAGATCAGTGTATAAAAATCATCTGCATTTCAATATCCTGGTAACCATCTGAAAATGAAAAATTTTTTAAAGATTTATTTATTTATCTGAGGGAGAAGAGATAAAGAGAGCTTGAGTGGGAAGGGCAGAGGGAGAGGGAGAGAGAATCTCAAGCGGACTCCCCAGTGAGCATGGAGCCCAATGTGGGGCTCGATCCCAGGACCCTGATTATCATGACCTGAGCCAAAACCAAGAGTCAGATGCTCAACCACTGCACCACCCAGGCACCCTGAAAATGAAATTTTAAAAGTTCCATTCACAATAGCATCAAAAAGCGTATAATACTTAGAAATAAGTTTAACAAAAGAAGTCTAAGACGGGCACCCTAAAGACTATAAAACACTGCTGAAAGAAACAAAAAAAATCTGTTAAGTAGAGACACTTCGTAGTCATGGACTAGAAAACTAAGTATTATTAAGATGGAAATTATCCCCAAATTGAGCTACAGATTCAATCCTCTGTCAAAACCCTTGGAGGCTTTTTTGTAGAAACTGACAAGCTGATCTGAAATATATGTAGAAATGCATAGGAACCAGAATAGCCAAAACAATTTTGAAATAGAACTTTTTCTTTAAAAAAGAATCAACAACCTGGATTTCACACCAAATTGCTAGAAGGCTAAAGTAATTAAGAGCATGACATCGGCATAAGGACAGGCATATAAATCAATGGAACAGAACCGAGAATGCAGAAACTAATCCATACATTTATGTTCAGTGGACTTTCAACAACGGCGTTGCAGTTCAATAGGAAAAGGATTATCTTTTCAACATACGGTGCTGGGACAACTGGCTGGATATCTACATAGGAAAAGATAAACCTAGATCCTAACTTCATACCATACACAAAAATTAACCTAAAATTGATCACAGACTTAAAATGACAGCGCTAATACTATAAAATATTAAGAAAACAGCAAAAAATCTTTGTGACCCTTGGTTCAGCAAAGAGTTCTCCTGGTCAGCCCAGACTCAAGGAGACAGAAGTCAGATCCATGTCCTGGTGGAGGAGTGCAAAGGGGATGGGGCGGGAGGTCCTGTGGCAGCCTGCGTGGCTAGGTCAGCACTCCCCAGTCCACACTGAATGACCACTAAGACATTAAACCTCTCCTTAGTCTTGTCAGAGTAGCAATTTTATAATTGTTTGTATGAATATCTGATTCTTATCTGTCTCTTCCATTACATAGACTCCACAGGGTCAGGTAAAAGAATGTCTTTTATTAGTTCCCATGTATCTATCACATAGAAAGTACTAAAAAACTTTGTTTCTAAACCAAATGAGTAGGGGCACCTGGGTGGCAGAGTTGGTTAAGCTTCTGACTCTTGATTTCAGCTCAGGTCATGATCTCAGTGTTGTGAGATCGAGCCCTGCATCAGGCTCTGCACTGAGTGTGGAGGCTGCTTAAGATTATCTCCTTCTCCCTCTGGCCCTCCACCTCTCTCTCCCTCCTCTATAAAAACCAAACCAAAACAAAAAAATAAGTGAATAAATGGATCATTATATTGGCATCATATTGGGATCATCATGAGGGAATTAAGGAAGTTGAACCATTTTCAGCTCCCAAGTAAAATGAATTAATACAATCCCATGTCTCAGCTTTTCCAAGGCAATCATGACTTAAAATATCCTTTCCCTATAAATTCAACAGTTTTCCTCACAGGTAATATAGTCATGACACATACGCTGTGGTAGGTAAGTCAATCTACTAGACCAACCTGGGACTGCTGAAGACAGTCTTACCTCAGGCAGCTGTTTGGCAGATATGACAGCTTCTCTAAATAAACTGTTTAAAGAGCCAAAGCGTTCAATGTTTCAGTTTTTTTTAAAATCTAGTACACATAAATTATATAAAAAACCTAAATTAACTTTCATAATGGAGGTAGGGACACATTCTGTTTAAATTATCACATTCTTAGCAATGTCAAAGTGTCTGGGAAGGGTTAAAACAGAATAGCAATTGTGACATTAACAAAGCATAAGAGGCGCCTGGGTGGCTCGGTCGGTGAAGCGTCTGCCTTCAGCTCAGGTCATGACCCCAGGGTCCTGGGATCGAGTCCTGCATCAGCTCTCTGCTCAGCAGGAAGCCTGCTTCTCCCTCTCCCACTGTGATCTCTCTCTCAAATAAATAAATAAAAATCTTAAAAAAAAAACAACAAAAACCAAACAAAAAACCAAAGCACGAAGCACCTGGCAAAAGCCAGGTAACTATCAGCACAGTGCCTTTCTTCTCCGTGCTCCTTATGCATATGTCTGTCATTATATTTACCATGCTACACTGAAATCATTGCCTTACGCTGCTCCCTCCCCCTACACTACATAGTCCTCCAGGGCAGGGACTGCTTTTATTTATGTCTGCTGGTCCAACACCACCCACGGTGCTTGCTGCATGGAAGGCACTAATGCATTTATATTGGAGAACAATGGATCTGCAGGTGATTTTAGTGTCACAAAAAGGCTTAGGACTTGTGAGTGCCAAAACTTGAACTAGTAATTATGCTCTTCAACTTTCTTGGCCGGGTAGCCTTACCAGTACTATCTAATCTCTTTAAAAATCCCTTGCCTCATTTATAAAGAAAGAAAAATGCCAATTCACAGGGACACTTTTAACAAAGTGCTGTGCAAATAATACTTACTGCTAAAAATTACCAAGGATTAAAATAAAGGAAGGACTTTGAAGTGCAAATTAACTATCAAGGAAAATTGTACTAACAGGAATGAGGAACTTTTTGATTTCTTCCAGTGCATGTCCCATCCGGGCATATGCTTCTGCTGGTGGAGCGAAGACTTCAATGAGAACATGGAGGTCATCATTGAGGTGAAAGTACTTTGCTTCTCCACTTTTCCTCAACTCTTCTTCCTGAAGAAAGAAAAACCATGCTTAAAAGGGCATCTTTATAAGAAAAGAAACAGGAACGCTACACAGAGCTGATCCGGATGCAGCTGTCACAGAAGGTTCACTCAATGGCAAGCACCACCCTAAGGATGAAGGATTAAGATACAAATCTGATCCTGCCATTCCCACCTTCTATGAAAACACTGAAGGCTTTATGCTATTGGGATGAGTCTCAACCCCTACCTCTGGCCTAGGGGGAGACCCTCTGCTGTGTGCTCTGGTTGCTTTGTCTCCGCCTGTCCCCCCAGCCCGATGCCCTCCAGGAGCTGCTCAGACGCCTGGTCAGACCAGCTGATCTCCCAACCTCCCTCTATACGGGTTACACCGAGTATCTCTGATGCTGCCACAAACCATTTCCACCGTCAGATTACCTAAAATACCTATTGTTTACTTGACTATTATCTAATTTTCCTCACTGGAGGTGATCGCAACAGAACAAAACCATGATTGTCTTCTTTGGTGCTCATTTTCCTTGTCTAGAAAAGGTATGCTTGGTATATAGCTGACACTCAACAAATACATTTGAAAGAATAGGTAAATATTATTTACTCATTTCTATGTTCATTTGCTCATTCATATATTCATTCAAAAAACATTCCTACATGCCAGGCACTGTATCTGAAGATAAAACAGTGAGTAAAATAAATGAAAGATTTTATTACATGATTTTACATAATTCCGATACACATTAAAGTTTTTTTGTTTACATAATGAAATTCAGGGGGGAAAACGAGAAGGAAAAAAACCTAGATCAGTCAGCAAGAGACAAATAATTTTGGTCCATTATCTTCTCCTAACCAGCATTCATTACAGTGGCAAATGACAGAATCTGGATCTTTTAAAAAAGTCTTTGTTTCCAACATTCAAATCAGACAGACAGATTAAGAAGAGTAGGTACCTACACCTAGAGTGATTTCCAAAATGGGGGGAAACCTTCCTAGCCTCTCTAAAATACCAACCCCATGAGAAGGAGAACCCTAGAACTCCTGGCAACAACACCTTTTAATTCCACCACAGGCCAAGAGGTCAAAGACGCACAACCACCCTTGACTTCACCGTTTAAGACTTCAACTTGTGTTACTTCACTAATTTGATTTCTTTTAAAGAACAAAGAGATCTACATATAGAGCATGACAGGACACGGGGTTTTGAGTCAGATATACCCAAATCGTAGCCATGCCAGACACCAGGTGTGTCTGTTCAGACAGATGAACTCTTAATTTGAAAAATCAAGTTTGTGTTAACATAAGTATATTAACGCAGGACTGTTGAGAAGAGTAAAAGGACCAACTTTCCGTAAATGCCTGGCAAAGGAGATCACATACGTACTGCCCGGCACACTGCTTTACAAGTGCCAGGACTCGATAAATGCCAGTTTTCTTCATATTTACGGAAAGTAGGTCAGAAACTGAAGGAAAAGAAGGAGAAATATTTGAAGCAAGGGGAGCAAATATAAGCTACCATAATACCCTCTGCATTTCCTTCAAAGTTGGTCATACATGAAAAGCACGATTCTTTTAGGCCAACTGTAGACTATTTGTTCTATCAGAACACTCTCCATCACTTGATCTGATACTCTCCCTTTCAGAGCTGAAGTTTTAAACTTCATAAAGTCGAATTTTATGTTCAACAGTTCACTTCTGAAAGTATAAACTACTGACCTCAACATTGCTTCCCTATTAGAATACAGCATCACACTAAGGCTACTAATGAGAGTTTGTAACTGTGATTTACAGTGCAGCACTCTACCGTTGCTACCCCAGACGCAAATGGGGAGAGAGGCTTTCTTAGCCCAGCCTGCTGTCACTCATCTCCACGGAGCGAGGAGCTTTATCAGCTTCTGTCCTGGGTTAGCAAGAACAGGCAACATGGTGTTTGGGGAAGAACACAGACTTCGCTTGGGAGTTCTGCTTTCAAATCCCAAATTCAACACGTACTGTATAATTTTGAACAGGTTACTTTATCATCTTGAAGAGGTGATTTTAAGTGCAGAGTTAACAGTACAGTATCTACTGCTCAATGAGTAGTAATAAAGGAGTTATCAGAACAGTGATTAGGAGTTATTAGTAATATAAAGTTGTAGTAAAAAAGGAGTTTCATGTTTCAAGACACAAAAAGTCTTTAGAACTATGCTTAGTACATAATAAACACTCAATAAATGATGACTACAGTATTAATTATTCTATTATTCTATACTATAGACAACAAGGGCAAAACAGCCAGCATGCTTGGCACAAACTGAAGGCTCGAAAGACCATAGCATTACAAGTGATTATTATGCTACATAACCAACTGATACAAGTCGGTAATGACTCCCATAATTTCGTCAATGTAGAAAATACAAGAACAAAATGAATTATGGTCTCATTAGAATTTAGATAGTGAACACTCTGAAAAGCTAAAAGATGAGATTTTAATAGTAATGGAAATCTCTTTAGCAATAAACATTATTAACTGAGAATTTCTGCAGACTAAAAGGATCAACAGAGATCAGCATTCAAGAGTTCGGGCACTGAGGACCTGACTGCACCACAGGACATAGAGTACCAGTGGTCTCCACTTCTACAGCAAACCTGTTACTTGAATTATCACCTGTGGTGACATCAGTGACATGCTTCTGAAAGTGTGACTGACGGCCACATGTGGCAGAGGCCGGCCACAGTATGACGCACAAGAGGAAAACAAGGCAGGGGGAGTGGGGTGAAACTGAAGAGTTCTAAAAAGAAAATGACAGACTCAAGATTTGACATTACGAGTTCAAGTCTCAAAGAGCCAGAAGTAGGCTAGGAGGTTTACTGCTTATGGCCACAGACTTATGGAGCCAAGAGGCAGAAGCAGAGTTGAAGCCTTCATGCTGCTGAAGGACAGTAGACTGCCCAGCCACCTCTTCTGTGAGGTTTAGGAAAATGTCTGGAGAACAGTGAAGATCTGAGCACTGGATTGGCAACATTTGGGAGGATTCAAACAACCCTTAGTATTCAAATGTTGAAGCCCCACTGAGCCTTCCACACAGGCAGAAGCCTGTCTAGTGAAACTTTTCCTACCTTGTTTTGAATAGCCAAGGTAGTTCCTTGAAAGATGAAAATTCTCTGGCTTTATTTTATTTTTTAAGATTTTATTTATTTATTTGAGGGAGAGAGCAGGAGGAGAGACAGCAGAGAGAGAGAGAGTGCGCGCACACAAGTCGGGGGAGGGGCAGAGGGAGAGGGAGAAGCAGGCTCCCCATAGAACAGGGGGCCTGACACTGGGCTCGAGTTCAGGACCCTGGGACTATGACCTGGGCGGAGGGTAGACACCTAACCGACTGAGCCCCCCGGGTGTCACGCTTTATTACTTTCCTCGGTATGACCTCCTGGCCTAGGATCAGATCCGTGCTTGCCCCGGAATGCAGAGAATAAGAAAGCTAATAATAACTATGAATACCTCCTTGTGTACATGTGACACTTTCTCTTTGTCTTCCCACCAAGGATCTGGGGCCTTTTACTAGAGCAACTATGCACTGATAAGATAAATACCCCGAAAGCCTGACGATTAACAAACTTGATTCTGAGCAAATGCTTCTCCACTGAGGGCCACTGATGACAGTGGGTCTCCAGGGTCGAGGGAGAAAGGACCTCTCGTCCTGTCCCTTGACAGCAGCTCAATGGACCGTAAACCCCAAATGTATGCTACTTCCCCAGGTCCTGGGTGTCTTGATGGAATGGAAATGATCAGCCACTTGCAGAATCTCCATAATGATTCTCAGACCATGTGGTCAAGGGCACAGAAATGAGAGGATTAGTGAAGGGCTGGAAAGTAGTCCAGGACAGCAGCCTCGACCCACTGAGTGTGTAAGGGAACAGGGTGCCTCATGAACGCAGAGCAAGCACTCAGCGACCAAGGAGACAAAGGGACTCATTTTAGTAGATGTCAAAGCACCTCCTTGCCCAGCCACCTCAGTGCTACTCGAGACACTTGAACAAAGTGCCTGTGGCGACAGAGAGGTTACACATTACTTCACAACACAGACTCCCCTTGAAAAGGATTCTTAGCTACTGTACTGCTGAATGCCCAATATGCCAACAGCAGAGACAGCCCTTAAAACGACAACATAATCTGGAAAAACCACCAAGCCCTGATAGCAAAGTGGCCATATTTAGAATCCTGTTCATTAAATGGATAGCCAGACACTTGTTATCACTTGGACATACAATCCAGCTAAAGACTTGCCTTCCCTCCTTCCTTTGTACCTATGAAACTATCTGTGGATGCCCTGATCACTGCCACCATATGCCACAAAATGTTGCTACTGCCCAAAAAAAAAAAAAAAAAAAAAAACCTCCCTTAACAACAAACAAAATAAGCAGTATGTTGATGAACTTCACTGGTCGTATCATGTACTTCATGACGAGATGGCCTTATTGAAGACCTAATTAAGATATCAGCAAGGATGGGTTAGTTTCCTACAAGTTATACAAAATTTCTGACCAACTGACCAATATACGGTTCCATTTCCTCCAACTGCCAGAACAGATGAGTCAGGGAATCAAAGTAACATCATTTGAGACAGCAAGGCTTAGTGAATAGTTAACCTAACCTGGCCACACATTAGAATCATTATAAACACCCACTGAAAATTCATTTTGAGGTTCTACCCTAAAAAGGTTGTATGGGAATCTTATTTTTAAACAGCATTCCATGTGAGTATAATAGCCCTGTTTTAATCAAATAATTTAACTTCCCTGATTAACACAGATAATATACTCAGGTTCTCTAAATCTCATTTTTTTTTTTTACAGGTAAAGTAAGGAAAATGTTATGTACCTTCCATCATTTTTCTAGGGGTAACACGGAGCAATGCACTCATAGTAGCTGTTTGACAAACAAATGGCAGCCATTTTTTATTATAAAAGCCTTTGTTTAGATGGACTTTTTTGTGTGTGAGAGGAGGCTGCATTTTGTCTAAATAACTTTCTTGTCTCAATCATTGTTCAACATTTCATGGAAAGTGGCCACGGAATGTGGGTTTGGTTTTCAGTGACATCTATCTCTTCACAGTGACAGAGCAACAAAATGATAACGGAGAATAATGTAAGTGATGACAGCACACTATGAAATGTGAAAACTTCTTTCAGAAGTGGTATATTTAAGAAAGTGATCAATAAAAAAACTCAGTAATTTTAGCTTATTACAGAAGAAAAAAAGGCAGTTAGAAGGAATACAGCCAAGTAGAGCTACTGTGTGTGAGAATACGAAGACACTATTAAAATATTTAAAATCAATTTTAACTTGATAAAATGTACAGGGTATCAAATGAAGGGCAAAAAGAGCAAATCCATGTGTATACTTTATAAACTCAACTATTTCAAATACAGGCATAGAAAAAAGGCCCCCAGGAACTCGTCTAAGATGCAAACAGTGGCAGTTGAGACTGCAGATTAACTTTTCTCTTCATGGTAATTTCAGTATCACTGTACTTTCTATGAGGTATTGCTTCTACAGTTGAAACCACAGGCATTGCTATTGCATTTTACAAATGAAGGTAATAGTTACAGATGTACACGGAGGACACCATATATTCTGAAACTGGTCCAAGCGACTCAGTTTTCTACACAGTACCACAAACTCATCGCCTTATACAACATTTTCATATAATTTCATTTGCAATCCTAGGTAGCTCTAATATAATTTGTATTAATACAATGGATAATCTAAAAGTACATTATGCAACTTGTGTCCAAAGTAGCCATTTTCTATGATGAATGTTACCTTTGCCTTGTCTCGCATGGAACCTTTCCCAAGGATGGACATTTTTGTCAAGGTTTCTTCTTGTAAACGCTTCAGAGAATTGCCACGGGGACCCAAAAGTTTCCCCACAAAGTTGAACTAGGGAAAAAACAAACAAACCAAAATTGTAACGTTCATATCTGAAAGTAATTTATTAACCTTGAATGTCAGTAAACACTACAGTATGCTACACATCACTAATTAATGCCAGATATTTAAGTTCCTGCTATATGCCTCACACTGTACAATTTTCCACAAACCATATATAACAGGGCTAAAAGTCGTAAAGTAAAAACCAATCATTTCAATGATGGTTAGATTTCACAAATTATAAATTAAGCTAATTCCCAGAAATCCTAGGTTGCTATCCTGACACTCTTAACACACATTTGACTTCAACCATGCACAGTGCTAATAAGATGAGGATGTAGGTGGGGAAGATGTAAGGTGCTCCAGGCTGGTCACTATGGAGTGTCTGGGTCCTTCCACCTAACCTCAGCACTTGAGCCTTGGTTAGTCAACCAGGGAGTGCACTGGCCTAGATGAGTCCTCAAGTATTTGGTGGCTCACAAAGCTTTATGACAAAATCCATCTATCTCTTCCAATATAACTAGCTATGAAAATGTTGACAAATTAATGAGTCTTGATTCTTAGGGTTCTTAATTTAACAAGCACAGCAGAAGTGAATTCATTAATGGTATGGACTCTGAGGCTACAATGCCATGGTTTTAAAACGTGGCTTTTCCATTTACTAGCTGAGTAACCCAGCTAGTTAACTGGGTTACCTGACCTCTCTGTACCTTGGGTTCCTCGTCCGTAAAATGAGAACAGCGAAATACAACTGAACCTACTCCCATAAGGCTGTTAGGAAGATTAAATGGGTCCATATAAATGAATCAGAACAATGCTTAGCATAGAAAAGACAATAAATATATCTTGAATGAAAGGACTGTAATTAGGAATTTCACACAACTTTTAAAAGCTTTACCATAATTAAGTTAAGTCATGAATACTTCTTGTTCCCAGAAAGAAAGTCAGCCCTATTGACCAGGAGGGAAACTGTTCTCTTTGGCAAGACTTCTGATTACAAACTCATGCAGCTGCTGTTTTGGCATCAGCTCTCCTCCACGATCTATGCCACTGCTGTGCTGTTGCTGTTTTTAAGAGAAAATCGTTTCTTGGGCGCCTGGGTGGCTCAGTTGGTTAGGCGACTGCCGTCGGCTCAGGTCATGATCCTGGAGTCCCGGGATCGAGTCCCGCATCGGGCCCCCTGCTCAGCAGGGAGTCTGCTTCTCCCTCTGACCCTCCCTCCTCTCATGTGCTCTCTCTCTCTCTCATTCTCTCTCTCAAATAAATAAATAAAATCTTAAAAAAAAAAAGAGAAAATCGTTTCCCAATTTCTCTATGGTAATTGAAGTAATTTTCTTAAAATATGTACTTTTAAAAAATCAAAATGGTATTTTCTCCTTGCCTACTTTTAATTTTATTGGTCTTCAATGAAAACTCAAATATCTACAGTATTTTTAACCTTCACATGTAAGTATGTTTTGTTTTTTTAAATTTAAAGTCGATTACTTTTTAAAAATATAGAAATGATACATATAGAGTTAAGAATATCAAATAATACAACATAGGAAAAAAAAATCAGTGTCTCCATCCACTAATCTCTACCTTATTTTTGGTTCCCCATTTTCTCTGCTTTATCTTTCTGGAAATTCTATTATTTGGCTATTAGGATCTCCTGAGTTGGAACTCTAAATTTCTCTCTTATTTTTCCTCTTTCCCTTTCACCTTCTCTGTTTTACTTTCTGGGGGATTTAAGTACATTTCCTACATATCTATTGATTTTTTTTCATTTCTGCTATCAAATGTTTAACTATTAATAGTATTTTCTTAAAAAACATAGTATTTTCTTATATTTGTTCTTTTTTTTACAGCATTTTAAAAATATTTTATGGAAGTGATATAAATTCTTATATTTCTGAGGATATGAATGGCAGCGCCCCCCACCCCCACCCCGACCCCGACTTGGAGCTTATAGTATCTGCTTCTTCCAACAGATTCACATTTTGTGGATTGGTCTCTTTGTACGTTATGGGCTTTCCTCAAGTGACCAGTAATCCTCTGCTGTCTCTTCTTAAAAATGCAAGGCTGAGGCTCCAAAACATTACCTGGAAGTCTTGCTTTCATCCACAGGATTTGACAACTGGACTTGACAATTCACTTTAAGATGACAGGCTAGTTTTTTCATCAAACGTTACTCAAATATCAGTATCTGTGTTTCTCTTCTCTTGGCCTAGGTAAGCATTACCCTGAATAGGAATTCCCCAATCTCCCAGGGGGAGGTATCAGCTTGGCTGCTGGAATGCTGGGATTCCCACTCGTAGGTGCACACCGTTATTTAAGGGAAATAAATACCCTCATTTTCAGTGTGGCATCTCTAGCCCTCAGTTGTATCTACCTGGGTCTGAGAGCCCAAGCCTTCTTTATTCAATCCCTCCAAGAAATCTCTAGTCTGCTGTAGGTTAAGAAGGTAGATGCCTGGTTTTATCAGCCAGGAAGAGCATCCAGTGGTCTAACCACTTCTCACACAAACTTTGAACCACGGCTCCTCTTCTTCAGTTCTGCCCACCAATCCACCTTCTCAATAACTGGTGTCCATGATTCCTGAGCCTTCTCCAGCTATTTCTGTACTAATGCCCATGTTTCTGGGACACTTTCTCTTGCCCTGTAAGCCTGAATTCTGCTTTCTCTTGTCGCCTAAGTCATTACCATTTGTCCATTTATTTTGCAGCCACGAAAACTTCACTCCCATCATTGGCCTATTATTGTTTCACCCTTCCATTCTTGTCTTTGAGGATTTGTGCCTTTTTCCTTCATTTATATTCATTTTGGAAGGTTTCAAAGATGGCATGAGACTAAATTTGTGGTCAAGCAGCCATATTTACATCACATCTTATATTTCCCCACTAACAAAAACTAAGACACCTTAGAAATCATCCAGTCCAAACATCTAATTTTATACTAAGGAAACTGAAGTCCACAGAATGATATGATTTATTCAAGGTCACTTGTAGAACTCTATATAAGAAGGAAAAGTATTTTTATGATTTTATATGCCTTTAGGATTTCTTTCTCCGTTTAACGTCTATTAGTCTTTCACTGACAAAAAGGACATAAATGAGTGTTTTGACAGTCAGAAACACTTTTCACTCCCTTCTCTGTTCCAGCACGTATTGTGCAGGAGTTACATGTCCTACGTCAAGTCACCCTCATGAGTCCCAGACTTCATCTACAACACAGGGATTATATGACCCACTGATTGATGAACAGTAAATATGAATTAAATACAGAAAGGTATAAAAAATCACTTAAGAGAGCAACCAACAGATTGTGCATACTCCAGGCCAAATTAGTAAGTAATAAATTGATGAATTCAACTATTACGGACATACATAAATTTATATGAACAATATCCACTGATTACTGAAAACTGACTCCCCTCCATCCATGATGCTACCAAGGGAGCCAGCACACTGAAACGGCAGGACTGTGCCCGGGCTACCCAGGCGGGTCCTGGAGTTGGCCTCTGACTGGAAGTCATGGAGCCTGAGGTTTATAACTAAGAGTGTGGACACTCATGTCCTTAACGCTGAGTCACAACAATGGCAGTGTGCTCGGCTGCTTGGTCAGGCTCTCAACCCCTGATTGCATCACCTCCCCAGGGAATCTGGAAATACTCAGCACGTCTGTTTGGTTGTCACAATGATATCGGTCACTACTGGTATTTAGTGGGCAAAGGCCAAGAATATCACACATCGGAAATGGTGGGACTGCCCTTCACAACGAAGAAGTGTCCTGTGTACAATGTCAGCTGTGTGCCTGCTGAGAAACACTGCCAGGGAGAGGAGTCACTGACTCTGGTTGCTCTCTCTTTCTTAGGCTTTAAGTCCTTGTTGCCATCCTTCTTGCAGATTACAAGTTCCATGTCGCCACGGATTCTATAAGGTACCCTACATAGTTCAAAAAACAAAACAAAACAAAGCTTAAGCTAGCCCAGGTTGGTACTTGCAACAAGAAAAGGCCTGAGTGACATGGGCTGAACATACGTTTTGGATTCTTCAGACAACATGAATGATACACAAGTTAGGCAGCACGGCTGTCCCATTTGCTCCGAGTACTAGGACCACCCCACTGGTGCTCCCAGGCCACAGCCTTGTGAAGCAGCACGGCGCCCCTTTATTGGCAGCATGACCCTGGCAGTTCCTTAGCCTTCCCGGTCCTCAGGAAGCCAAGTCACGGCTTGTGAGAGTCCTCACACTGAAGGGTTATCATGAAGATTAAGGCGCATCAGGTAAGTGCTGAGCACTGGGAGGATGCTGAACTTAACCCGACCCTGTGCTCCTGAAAAACAGTGATGATGAGGGACAAGCCCAGGCCCTTTTCCATTCCTGGGAATGGCTCATTGCTAAGAACTACTCCTCCGCACGTGATTTAGATAAGACCTGTGGATGGCCCGCTGTTCACCTGTGACAAGGCCAGACACAGACCCTCTAAATGCACATTCTTTGCCCCACACAAGATTAGCTGACCTGTTGTCCCCACTGATCAATCAGAAAATGTCCACTAACCTGACCTGATCAAACTTCAGGGAAGTTCTCTCTTTCTTCAGGCCCCCGAATGTGACCCACCAGCAACCTGGGCCAGCATACAACCCCCGAGAGACCCCTCCACTTCAGGCGCCGGCCTCAGGGTGAACGTTTTCTGATCTACTGTCCCTTCATGCGGCTTCCACCCACTCCTCCCACCTCCCCCACCTTGCTGGCCTCATGCCCTCTCCTCATAAGGCAAAGCCTTTGCTGTCTGACTGATCTCATGAGGCGCAGATCTTCTCCCTATTACAAGGCCCCCTCCCTGCTCTTATAATACTTTTTTGTGATACTTTCAAATAAACTCTTTCCTTAACCAAAGTCAGGATCTGGCTTTTGATAACTGTATTCTGAGAATGTAATATATTTTAACTTTCATTTTTATTAATAAATTCATTTGTGCCTAGATTTGAATAAAAGGTGAAAGTGTTATTTCCAAGATGAATGATA